TGCCAGGAGGAAACATCAGGGGAAGACCTTGGCCTCTATGCCCTGTTGTTGAACCTCCAGGGGAAGTGGTTGGCCTCTGTGTGAGATGCTGGATGCTGGACCAGATGGACTGATCCAGCACGGCTCTTATGTTCTTAAAATTACCTTCGTAAAACCTAGCTTTCTGCTTGGCAAACTGTACTCTTCCATCTTTTGATTCTAATGAAGTTTAAATCATACATTTGTTGATTTCAAGTATTCATGCACCAAGCAACGTCAACAGAATTCTCACTTATGTGGAAGAAACATCCTTTGGTACTGAAGTACAAATGATCTGAAGTAATTTGATATTTTTGTTCTACAAATACTCCAAAAGTATCACCTCAAAATACACTTTCAAATACAAGTTATGATCAATATAATGGTGAACACTGGAATCAAAGGGATGACTGTGTTGAGCCTTTCCTATAAGAAAATGCTGAAGTGGTTGGAGGGGGAGGGATGACTGAGGGACAGAAGCAGGGCCATAGCCAGAATTTTTTTACTTTGGGGAGCATTTAAATAAGTTGGGGAGAACCCCCGCACACACCCCCAGGCTGTGTCAGGAGCGATGAGAGAGTAAAAGTTTAAAAAAGCAACATGAGAGAGAGGCAAGAGGCGACAACACTGGCAGACAGGGCAGGGTGACGGCTCAGCACGGTGAAGCTGCAGTGCATGCAAAATATTTTAAAAAGCAATGAGAGAGAAAGAGAGAGAGAGGCAAGGGCGCCAGTAGGCAGTGTGTTCTTATTTTATTATTATTATAATTTAAAGGCTGGAGGGAAATTTAAAAGCCAGGGGTGATTGGAGAGAGGTGATTAGAAAGCAGAAACGGGGGGGGGGGGATAATACAACACCCAAAGTGATTGCAAAGGTGATTTTCTTTTTACAGATGTGCCCTGTAGCGTGCCTTGCCCGCAGCCAGCCAGAGATACACTGCCGGCATGCAGAGCAGGGAGACGGCTCAGTACAGCCTTGGCGCACGCAAAAAATAAAATAAACCAGCCAGATGGGAAGTCAGGAGGCTTGGGCGTTAAGTTGGGGCCCTGGTCCTGAGATGCCCCACTGTAGCTACGTGCCTGGACAGAAATGACACAGGTTTATCAAGTTATGAATGAGACAGCAAATAACAGGCCCCGGTCACACGGGCAGGAAAATGCGGGGGGGAGTGTGGCTGTTTGCCCTGGAGCAAAATAACACGGGGATGCGCAATCAGACGTCCCGTCGAGGTTCCATCGAGGTCCCGTGATTAGGGGGGAGGTGCCGATCACAGGACAATCCCACTGTGCGGCAAAGAAGCGGCCTCCCTAGAAAAAGGATCTGGGTTTAACCCCTTCCAGGGCTGCAGAGGAATGCAATGTGTCCTCCCTCCGGTTCCCTCCAGAAGGAGCTTCAGCCGGGCCGCCCTTCTGCCACGCCCCCCCTGCACCTTCCCCTCTGCCACCTGATGCAGAGAGTTCCTCTCGAGCAGGTCGAGCCAGGAGTGGGGGGGGGGTACAGAAAAGCGGAGGGGGCTGTGTTTGTTTTTAAACTAAGTGTGCGCATGCGCTGTTGGGTGCTTGTGCGCATCCCGTGGAGACTTGGGGAAAAAAACTTTTAGTGACGGGACATGGGCGGGCGCAGGATGCCACGACCTACCACCGGAAACGCGATCAGGTGCCCGCCCTTGCCCCGCGGTTTCCGGAAACTAATACCTCGGAGGTACTAGTTTTTTACCCCGCATCTTCGGCGAGAAGCCTCGGGTTCGCCACGGGAGCTCTACGCTTCCCAGATGTGGCACTGTGATTGCGCCCAGAAAATCCACCTATCTTCCGTCTCTGTAGCGTGGCTAATGCTCAGTGTGACCACAGCCGAGATAGATTTTTCTTATCTTAATACAAGGAGCTACTGAAGAGGTTGATCATCATCACACTTTAAAAAGACATGAAATACATAATTATATGAATTAATAAATACTACTCAATGTTTTTAATAGTTTGATAATAGTTACAATTTTTATGGTGTCATATTTTTGTTATTGTTTTACTTTATAAACTACCTTGAGCAAATTTTCTAAATAAGCTTATGAAATTCTTTACCATGAGATGTACTTGCAACCACTAGTTTAGCTTGCTTTTGAGAAAGGTTAGGCAAATTTAGGGAGGTTAGATCTATCAGATGTGATAATTAAACTCAACTTCTATGTTCCAAGGCAGGATAACTCTGAATACCAGATGCTGGAAGAAACATTGTTGTTCTCTACTTGTTGAACTCCCAGAGGTATTTGACTGACCACTGTTAGAAACAACACACTGATTATAGAAACTTGACCTACAACTACTAAAGGAGAGCTTGTATATGTTTTCTGCCCTATAAGACTTTCTGTAAGCCCCAAGAGCATTTTTCTTTGGTCAGTTCTAAGCACCAAGCTTTTACCAAAACTAGTATAATCAACTGCACATTCCTCCAGCCAGTCTGAATTTTTCTTCCTAGAAAAAACACTACCATGTAGTGATGACTGGAATTACCTCTGGGTTTTGTTTAAATTACACAAAAAATCGTTTAAGATGTCAGAGATTATAACCTGCCAATTTAAGATATCACCATAAATTACATATGTTACTAAAATTAAGACATAGACTGAAGATAACTTTTTAAAGAAGCCATTTTAAAATGTTATACTTTAACCTACAGACACAATAGTTTTACCCCATAAAGCCATCTGATGAAAATCCTACCATCCTCACACAAAATTATCAGAAATCTTGCATTGTTCCAAATAGGAAACAGGACAAAATTCTAATGCAGCAATGAAATTAACTAAAGTGAATTATCATTTGTAAGACCTTGAATGTTAAAAGCTTAATGAACCAGTAGCTATATTTTTTGCTGGAAATATTTAATAAAATGTAAACAAACTTCTAAGCAATGCTGTATTACCTCTGTTGTCATCTTCAGATCTATATAAAAATACCTAGCAGAAGTTATCAGAGATTCTTGAGCATCTTCTACTGCAGTTCATAGAGCCTTTCCTCAAATGGGCTGCCTTCCCACTGTTTCCTTTCCTGCCTTGACACCTAAGGGATGCTGCTTATATGATGTCAGGTACTTAACTGTCAGTACTACAGTACAAACATGCATAATATGCTGCTATGAAGCATGCATATGAATAAATTATCATCTTTCCCTTTAAAATACATCCAAACACATTTTCTATTCTTCTCCATTTCTTCTCCATCTTTTAAAAAGAGAAACAGTGATTGATACAAGTCTGTGCCTCACATATGCCAGATAACAAAGATATCGTCCAAGCAGCAACCTGCAGACTCTTTACCACCTATATGTTTTTTTTCAAAATACCTTATTACCCATCCTGAAAAGATCTTTGACAACCTCTAACATATTTTCTAAATGTATCTGTTGATGCAGTCTGGTCAGTCAGCTCAAGAAACAAACTATGCAGGACTTACAGTGCAATAGAGTTACTCCAATCTAAGCCCATTCATTTCAATGGGTTTAGACTGGAGTAACTCTCTTTAGGATTGCACTGTTAGTTTGTTAAATTTAGCCAGAAACTGAAGGCCATTTGCATGCAGTTTAAGGCTGCAATTCTATACAATTACTTAAGAATAAGTAAAACTGAACTAATAGGACTTCTGTGTAAACAGGAAAGAATTATATCACTAAAATAGTGTATTTTTGCATTTTATTTTGCCCTTTGAGAGCCAGTTTGGTGTAGTGGTTAAGTGTGCGGACTCTAATCTGGGAGAACCGGGTTTGATTCCCCACTCCTCCACTTGCACCTGCTGATGTGACCTTGGGTCAGTCACAAGCTCTGGCACAGCTGTCCTTGAAAAAGAACAGTTTGTGTCAGAGTTCTCTCAGCCCCACCCACCTCACAGGGTGTCTGTTGTGGGGAGGGGAAGGGAAAGGAGTTTGTAAGCCGCTCTGAGACTCCAAGTGAAGGGCAGGGTATAAATCCAATCTCCTCCTCCTCCTCCTCCTCCTTCTGTCAGGAGTTAAATCTGTATTTGTGTTTTCAGACTATCATAACCATAATCTCAATTCAAAATGACAGTGGAGAGAATATGATCCATAACGACCAATCATGTGCCCCAATGTGCAGTCTTTGTTTAATCACATTTTAAAAGTGTTTACCATTTTGAGAAAGCATTAAATATCAAATTCTGCAAAAGTAATTAGTTTCTCAAGAACATGGTGGAGGAACTGGAGTAACATTATTGGGCCTCATAACACATTTCAGTACAGATTTCCACACTGAAGAATGTTCACCAGAGCTCACTCATTAGCCAGGGGCATCTAGGATGGTGATCTAACAATCAGTTAGTTTCTTTCTCATCTTTGCAATAATGATCTTCAGTACACTGCCCTACATTTGATTGTCACAAAAATGCTTCCCTTAATTGGCAGTATCAGTAAACACCCTGAACTTCTTGTTCCACCTGTGCAATAAGGTTGCTTCCTTCAAGCAGAAAGCTCTTTTCCAAGCTGTTTCAGATTTAGTTAGTTTGTGTGCTCAAAATATGATTTACTTTACTAGAAAAAAATGCTTTTCACAGAATGGTTCCAAATCCTCTTCTTCTAACTCCCACACAATCAGTCCCAAATTTTGCCAGTCACTTTAAAGTGGGTGGTTTGACAGCACTGCATGTTGTGTTGTTCACCATGCAGGTGTGCACTCCCCTTTGACGGAGCTGCAAAAATTAACCTTTTGCAGTCCAATGCACAATTTATAAATATCAGAAGCCAGACACACCAAACACTTTAGGAAAATATCCCCTTTCCAGGCAATCAGTTCTATTGTATGAGCTGTAAGACACTAATACTGCTTGAATACTCCCTCTGAATTACAAAAGACTTTTAGGATGTCCCTATATATGAGAGATACGGTATGTGAGGCTCTCATCCAGCATATGATTCAAACCCGAATGGTTCTCTCAGCCCAGGAGAAGCAAGACCACACGGCGGGCGCGGAATCTCACCCTAGCAAACTCCGGGGGCTTCATGGGGGCAGCGCCGCCAGCACCACTCATCTCTCTCGTTCCGTCGCCTCCGTCCGCCATCTTAGGGAAACTGGCAATCTTGGAGCTGGGCCCCGCCACAACCCGACCGGAAACCAGCTGCGGGGGCAGGAGGGGAGAGCTGGATTCGGAAAACTTGACCCAGCGCTTTGTGCCACAGCCTCGGCGACGCTGGTCCCTGCTTAAAACTGAGCAGGCGCGTATGAGTTGCGCATGCTCAGATAACATATGCTGAAGCTGGCTCCGCTATTGGTACTTTGACGGCTGGGAACATAAGCGTAGCTCAAATGTTCCTTTGGTGTGTGGACAGATACAAATAATCTATAAAACACTGTAGCTTTCTTGTGTTCTACACAGATTGTTGATCCCAGATCTTAATTGATAGATAATGAGCAGAGAAGACAGCGGGCCAGAATACTGGGTTCATCTGCCCTCTCTTGCAAGCAGTGTTCCCTCTAAACTGAGTTAGTGTGAGCTAGCTCACAGTTCTTTAGCCGCCAGCTCACACAATTTTGTCTTTGCTCAGGAAGGAAGGATGACTCCAGACCAAACTTATTTATGCAGTAGACAAATCGCTCGCTAGCAGCTTTAATGCCAGCAGCTCACAAAGAATAGAATCTTTGCTCACAAGACTCCATCGCTTATAGGAAGCATTGCTTGCAGGTTGGAAACAGCCTTGATTCTGTTACCGACTTTCACTTCTTCCTTCTTTATGATGCTCCCTGCTGTTTTCATCCCCAGTGCTGAAGTCGGAGTCCTCCATCCTGGAGAAGTCATTAGAAAACCTACATTGGCTCTTCCAACGACAAGAAGGAAGGTGGAAGAGCCACAAAGTACCGCTAAATCCGTTCAACTTCTAACCCATAAAAACATGAAAATTGTTCAAATCTTTACTTATTTACATTTCTTAAAGTAGATATTATAGTTTTTCTTCCTTATCCCGAAGAGTGAAGCCCAAAGTAATGCTGTGCACAACTAAAGCAGGTCTCTGGATCGTGGCCATAGAAACCATCCTTGCTATCTATTATTATGCCCTCCTGTTGAGGATTAAACGAGGTTCCAATGTGATGAAGTGGACTCTGACCCAGAAAAGGTTATGCTGGAATGAACTTTCTTAGTCTTCAAAGTGCCTCTGGACTCCTGATTAACGGAAACTAATGCTGCAGGGTTATCAGAACGACAGTCGGGATTGTGCTCGGATATTTCTTCTTTTGCTATTACTTTAAAGGCGTAGCAGAGCTCTACGATCGCCGCCTGCTGGACTGAGTGCTCCAAAAGGCAGTTAGTCCTCCAGGAAGACATAGAGATGGGAAAGAGAAAGCTCGATGAATTTTTATGGCCGTGTAGCGGACTGCCTTCTAGTTTACAAGCGGAAGCGAATGTCGAAGTTAGCGGTGGTTGGCCGAGGCGGTGACAGTTGGATCCCGGAGACGGGTAGATGCTTCCCAGTGGGGCGAGAATGCTGAAGGTGGCGGCTGGGCTGCTCGCGGCCGCTCTGGTCGCGCTGCTACTGGACTGGTACAGCCCCTCGGGACCCCCGCAACAGCTTCTCCAAGGCCGCTCCTTTGCCCCCGAGCCGGCGCCGGGTGCTGAGGCGAACAATCTCTTCTGGCTAGTTCAGGTGAGCCCAGTTTGTGTGACACTCAGGTGAACTCCAGGTGGAAATCCATGTGACAGAGGGGAGCAAAATGGCGATATTTACTTTGGACGAGACCATAATGAACTGCGAAAGTAGTAGTATAAAGGCGTATCGATGGCATTTAATCACTAAAAATGAATTTTTAACTGTTCAGTTTTCTGTTTCTCAAAATTAAAGGAATATGTAAACAGAGGTCATTTGGGGGGATCGTGGGGGATCGCAGTTCCCCTGGGTGAGGTACGGGGGCGGGGCACATGGCGAAGCCCCGCCCCCTGCTTCCGGCCTCCCGCTTCCAGCCCTCATTCAGCCAAGAGGAGGCAGGTGAAGAGGGAGGGTAAGTTGCTTCCTCCCCGCCTCTCTCCACCCCTGCCTGCCTGGGGCTGGCCTTATGACACACTTCTGGTGATGTCAGGGGGTGTGGCCTTATGACACACTTCCAGTGATGTCATGGGGTGTGGCATATGCTAATGAGTTCCCCTAGCTCTTTTTCTACAAACGACCCCTGGTTAAACACATGAAGAAACCACTGAGACTGATGTAGTGATCAGCATGGTTTACTGGTACATAACAAGACAAAGACAAGGCCAGCTGGCCAACTATATACACACCTGGGGACACACCCCTAGGTCCCCTTGGTGGGTTTAAATCTCCCGCTGGTCCCATTGGTTCCCCAGTGGAGAGACCAGGAGCCTAGACCCCATTGTTCTTCTAGAGTCAAGCTCTCGGGTATTCGCTGGCCCCTGGAGGCGGTCAGCGGACACAACATGTTCAGTTTTCTGTTTCTCAAAATTAAAGGAATATGTAAATAACAATATATTGAGGTGGGGTGTGTGTGAAGAGTATTTCTTTCTCTCTTTTTCTGCCATCAAGTTGCAGCCGATTTATGGCAGTTATGGCCACTGGTGGACCTCCTGATGGCACCTGGTATTTCTGGCCACTGTGTGACACAGAGTGTTGGACTGGATGGGCCTTTGTCCTGATCCAACATTTATGTTCTTATGTTCTTAACCGCCAGCAAATAGATCCGGGAGCCCTGTTATCCGTTATAGTTTTCATTGTCCAAGAGCTCCCCACTACATTTTCTTCTCACAATGATCCTGTGAGGCAGATTAGGCTGAGTGATTGGCCAAAAGTCAGGCAAAGAGCTTCATGGACCCACTGGAAATTCAAACCAGCACGCTCCAGTCTGGCTCTGATTAGTTCAGCTAAAAACACTCTAATTGGACCTGCTGTTCATGTTTGCTCCTGCAGTTTCCTAGGTCAGACTTTATCTATAAACAATTGTGAGAGGTCAGGCCCCTAGCCAGGATTTTGTAATTTTGGGGTGGGCTTTAAATAAGTCGGGGGCACTGACATCACAAAATAAAAAATTAAATTAAATTTAAATTTTAAAAAATCATGCTCGCCAGTTGGAGCAGGCAGGTATTCACCCCCATTCACTCCCATCTGGTAGCCCTGTAGCCCATTCACACCATGGCTCATCATCATCATCATGTGGTCCGCCATGGGAACCTGGGCACCCAAAGGTGGCAGCAATCCAAAGAGCAGCTTGCAACACAACAAAACCATGTGGTAGGAGCACAGACGTGTGTCAGTTTTGCTGGATGAAAGTCGGGGGGCCTTGGTAGGAAGTCGGGGGGCAGGCCCCAAAATGCCCCACTGTACCTACGGGCCTGGGAGAGGTCCTCCTCACTCACTTTGAGTGGATTGATTACTCTTGTGATTGTATATTGTTTTAAACTGGCCTCTCTTTTTAACATATCCTCCAGGGATGTAGCCAGAAAATTTAGGTTGGTTGGGCGTGGGGAGATTGGGGGGTGCCCTGCCATGACTGCTGCTCCTCTTGTCCTCCTCTGGTCTTCTGGTTCTTTTGATTGGAGAGACTCAATTCCAGGCTGCTTTTCTGTGTAAGTGGGGTGGGGGGGGGGATCTCCAACTCTCTCTCTTTTGCATTATGCAATTTTATTTTATTTTAGCACTTTTAAAAATCTATTTATTTTTCGGCCTGGAAAAAAGAAAGTGAGGCTGAAGCTTCCCTGACTCTGCCTGAGATCATTTTGGAAACTCCACAGACGTCTTATAATTTTAAGAAATGGATTTTAAAAAAATTGTTTGCATTTTTTGTCTGAGGGGGTGGCACTTATTGCTGGGTTAGCATTGCCTCCAAATCCCCCCATGGCTACAGGCCTGATATCCTCCCACCTTTCTGTTGTTTAATCAGCTTTATGGATGAAGGAAAAAAGTAAAATCCATATCTACAAGAATCCTCATATACCTTCTAGTGTTTTTAACGGACTCCCCCAAATCCGGTATCAAATTACTTGTCAAAGCCAGAACCGTGGTCTAAACTGTAAAAAACACAGATCTGATACTTCGTGGTGCAGAAATTATACAAAAGCAAGGATCTGAGCCATAGTTCCTCACAAATTCATGTTATTTTTACACTGAAACAAAATAAAGCCACCATCATATTGTAGATCATATCTTGGTCTGTAGGCAGCACCACAAAACTCATGCATCCACTGCTTCATGGCACTGCAATGGTGCAAAAATGTGGTTCCAAAGTACAGATGTGGTTCCAAAGTACAGATGGATCCTGAGGATTTTATTTATTTATTTCATTCCATTTATATCCCACCCTCCCCGCACGCAGGCTCAGGGTGGCATTTTTGCATTGGGTCAGTCCAAACTCACCATCAAATCACATATCATGTTCATAGTACAGATTGCCAAAACAGTAATGATAACACAGTATACTGAGTACAGTAAACAAATAAGCACTGTATAAAGGAAAATTATTTGTAACAAAAGCAAAACTAATCACAATAAAAAGGGACCACATATATCAGTAAAGCAAGATTACATCATAAAATATGCCAGTCCATACATCTCTCCCTTATAATAAAGCAGTAGTGGGGACCAACGTTCTAAAATGCCCGCCTTTAGTGTTTGGCCGGAAGAACTGCCACTCAGAAGACACTGGCTGGGTTGACTGGCTGCTTTGTGCAGTCCCGCCCAGCGTTTCAAAGTCTTTTGCATATGGAAGCTGATTGGACTTCCCTCCATTCCACACCTCAAACTCCCCCCCCGCAAGGCAGTTGGAATTGCCAGTTGCATATGGAACCTACTGTATTCTGAGGTAAAATATGTCCTCACTCACAACACATCACTTCCCCTTCAAAAGAAACAAACCCAATAACACAATCATGCCACATCACAAAGAAGACAGATCACACCACAAGCAGAATACCACAAGGCAAAAAAAGATAGGAAAAGGTGCCAGCAGTCACCCCATTACTGCCACAGATGGTGTGCAGGTCCCAGGTTCATGTTTTAAAAGCTGCCTGGGGGATTATGGACCATTCACACACTTTCAACCTTAACATACCTCATAGGGTAGTTGTGCGGATCATACGGGGGAGAGGAGAATGATGTCAGCTGCTTTGGTTCCCACTGCAGGGAAAGACTGCCCTTTCCCTAGGCAGAGGCGGGGGGGGGGGGGATGTAAAACTTAAGACAGACAGGCAGATAAAGGTTGGCTGATGGTTGCCTGGAAAGGACATAGGGTTGAAGCCTGCTGAGGGTGGGGTCTGAGGAGGAGGAGGAAGAGGGGGACCTCAGACAGATACAATGCCATGCTGCCCACACTCCAGACAAGCTGTTGCCAGTCTCCAGGTGACAGCTGGAGAGATCTTAAAGCTTTGGTGCTACTTCAAAGTTCCCCAGGAGCCCAAAACAGAGTAGTGTTTTGGAAAATCTTTAGGAATTGTTTGGTGCATTTATGATGGGGCTCCTGGGGAACTATTGTTGCCAATCTTGGCCCAGCAGCCATCAAACCATTCTCTTCAACCCCCTGCTGTGCAGCTGACTTTCCCCTAGGGTTACCAATCTCCAGGTGGGACCTGGAGATCTCCTACTGTTACAATTGATCTCCAGATGACAGAGATCAGTTCCCCTGGAGAAAATGGATGCTTTGGAATTGTTAAAAGGTCACAAAGCTCACCAGTCCTAATGCTCCTATAAAGCTGGGCTTGGAACATGTTCTCAAATGGTCGGTAAGCCTCAAAAATACAATCAGCTGTTGAAAGCTTAATATACTGTGGTGAATATCTGCTAGACACCATAGCACAGAAATTCTTAAAGTAACAGAAGACTAAAAGCCCAATTCCTATTTCTACTCATGTAACAACTAATTTCTGTAGATGGATTACAACACCTCACAAGTAGCAGCCAATTTCTAATGGTTGCTTGAAAGCCATAAAGATGAGATATTTTAAGTCCAAAATTGCTAACAGTCCTATTGCTATGTTTACTCCCAAAATAGTAACTAAGTTCTAAAGATAAGTTACAGTGACTCACAAGTAGCAGCCAAAATAGCAACTAAGTTCTAAAGATAAGTTACTCACAAGTAGCAGCCAAGTTCTAAAGATTGATTGAGACCATAAGGGTGAAATGTTTTGAGTTTGAAAATCCAGAATGCTTCATGTTGTCTTAACTTTCTTTGGACATCTAAGCCAGTATATTGGTGAGTTCTAAGTATTTCCAGTACCACAAATTTGAAATCATTTGGAGAATGCTTCATATTCATATAATGCTGAACTAAAGGGTGAGTTTCTTATACAAGACCTATGTTCAATCATGCGAGTTCTGACAGTTCTGGTTCATATTCCTACATATAGATATTGACAAAGACATCTTAAAAGGTACACTACTCGTCTACTATAACATGAAGAAAAGAATTTCAAATCATATACAAAATTTCTGCTGGGAATCTCAATTCTATTAGTTTGCCAAACCAGAGGGCAGATACAACACCTGCCACATGGAAAATGGCCAATAAGTGTCACTGTTGTATCAGAGTTGCAGAACTGGAAGTCAGAATGTACTACTAAATCACAAATATTTCTAGTTCTTCTAAACCCTATAAAAGGGTGATTTTGACAATCAGAAATACTCTCCACAATATGCCAATGCTTATGAATGATGTTTTTAATTTGAGATGCCAATGGTGTAAAGTCACAAGCACAAGATAAGGAATGTGGTTGCTGACTACGTCCTGTCTCTTTAAACAGATTTGAACGTTCAGTGCTGGCAGCCCTAACTGCTGCATGTTGAATAATCTTTGCTGGATAACCTCTATCCCTAAACTGTTGAGAAAGTTTACAGGACTCCATTTCATAGTGTTTATTAAATGTGGAATTCCTTCTAGCCCTCACATACTGTCCATATGGTAAATTTTCACGTATATGTTTAATATGGTGAGATTGAAAATGGAGGTGTGACGTCCTCCTTATTGGGGAGGACTGGTTTCCCTTTAAAAGTGTTCTTTTTATTCTGTTTATCTGGGTATATAAGGCTGCCACCAGGAAATTTTAAGGATTTCCAAACCTTTATACTTTTACTTCTGCTCTTACTGGTTTGGTAGACCAAGTTCTAGGCTTACGAGGAACTATGTGGTCCTTAGGAAGTATTTCTTTCAGAGCTGGTATACTTGAATAAAAGAGGATTTATTGAAGTAATTCATAAATAAAAGGGTAGAACAATGTAACTAGTAAGGTGTAAATACTGAACAAATGCTTGGTGTATCACACACAATCTGCTCCCTTACTGACAGGGATCTTTTCAAGTAACTTTGTATCCCTTGTTTATCTCCATGCCATATAGGTTCACTGTCTTTTTCCAGTCTGTTATAACACTCAGACTTTACTATAACATTTCTTCAATTAAACTTTACGTTTTCATAGACTTAGACCTCAGATCTCTAATCATATCTCTCAGAACAACCTCAGCTGTTCTTAACTGCTTCCACACAGAACTACTTGAACTTATCAACTGTCAAACCTGTAACTGTAAAAGCCTGACTGACATACATCCTCATCCACTCATATTCACTTCCAAAACCCCTCCCCCTCTCTGTCAACCACCAATCATACCACACTTGCCTCTCTCAACCACTCTAGTCTATCTACCACAGCCATGCAACCAAACTTTTAAAGACACACACACACACAGAAACAAGGAATCATTACAGGAGGTATGAATTTTTATCAATGCTTTTAGAAAAAGGTTTAACAACCAGGGTACCTGTTGCTGAAATGAAAACTGTAGTATCAAGGAAATCAATGCTATCAGGGCTACTCTGAAAGGAAAATTTAATAGTTGGATGTACTAAGTTAAGTCATTGTACAATCTCAAAAATATGAATATCTCTACATAAAAAGAAAAGATCATCTATGTATCTCTTAAAAATTACAATCTGAAGTACATATTATTATCCGAATTTGGTCTCAAAAGTTGGCTACATGTATTATGTCCATATTCACATATTACACCAGGAAAAAAAAAAACATAGACCCACTGCTTCATGGCACTGTCATGGCGCAAAAACATGGATCCTTATGAATTCATTGAATTTTTGTGGGGGTACCACCAAACCACTCATCATGTCCATGGCCACAGATTGTACTACAGAAATAATGGATCCACTGCTTCATGGCATCACTGTGCTACAAAAACATGGATCAAAAATGTTGGAAGAGAAGGCTTGATGCTGTCCCTTAGCCTGAAACTCCAGAGCGGGGGTCTTACAAGAGAGTCAGTCAGGTAGACAGGCACACTATGGGTTCCTTCCTGTTTTCTCTTCTGCCTCTGTCCCTTTGATGTGTAGACTAATAGCTCTTAGGGAAACTGCCTTCTCACTTCTTCTCTCTTCTACACACAGACAAAGAAGGAGCATGATGCTCCCATCTTTGGCACCATGCGTGCAAGGATGCTGTCTCCATCCGCACCCATCTTAGGTAGTTAGAATAGAACACATACATTTCTCAACTCAAAACAGTTCAAACTCATCAACAGCAGCGAATTACAACCTCAACTGAATAAAGACAGTTCCCTTTCACAAGTACTTCAGCAGCAATTGCCACCACAGCACAAGGCACTTCACTGTGTAACTGAAGGTAACCTGTGTGTATAGAAGATATGGATGCTAGCCTCCAGGTGGGACCTGGGGATCCCCCAGAATTACAGCTCATCTCCACAGTGTAGAGATCAGTTGCCCTAGAAAAAATGGCTACTTTGGAGGGTAGACTCTATGACATTGTACCCCACTGAAGTCCCTGTCCTCCCCACATCTCCAGGAGTTTCCCAACCTAGATCTGGGAACCCTATCCCCCGCCAGTGGCCAGAGGGGATCTGGCAACCCTAAGGGAAGAAAAGATACCCGGTTAGTCAGGGCTTCTTGAAATCTTGACGAGTGACTACTAGATTGTTGTATAACCTCAGTCTCAAATTTTTGAGGTTGGCTCTGCCACCAGGAACAGCCATTTGGAGGTTGAGCTACCACTATGTGTCTGTTTGGCAGAATTTGGTGTTTCATGAGCCTGGGCCTTCCTTATTTCTAGGTTAGTTTTGCTGTAGCTAATTTATGTTCTTTGGTTCATGTATCCCATGAGCCTTTGTTTGCTTGCTGGCAACCTAAGCATAAAAGTAAATCTGTGCCCTTCAGATATACCTTTGGTCTGGATTCATACCTTTCAGGCCGTCTATGTGCCAGACACTTAGCCTAAACATTAGAGATTAGCACAGAGGGCTCAATAATATCTGAAGAGAATAGGGGGGGGGGATATATATCTAGGTAAAAGTTAATTGCTGATCTTACCATTGGTAAGGGGGTGGGGGTCTGGTTTCCATCATGGACCACCCCATTCTGCTTGGCATCTTGCACTGTATCCTCTAGGTGAGTATAAAAATAGTATGAAATTGAGCATTTGGGGCTGCTTCTTCAACAACCCCTCCTGTAGGGCTTGGTGAGCATACAAGGAACGTTCCTTCTACTTTTGTTTTTGGGGGTTTTATACAACTGGTTCTATTCTTTGTTCATATTTTACTTTGGTTACTTCAATAAAATAGTATGTCAGCTTGAAGCTGACTGTACTGTTTTTCTCTCTGTAGTAAAGTCAATCCCTGGGTTAGTCACACCAACCCTTTGGACCTCCACAGTCAGAATTCCAAAGGTGCCTGCAGGCTCAAAAAAGTTTGGGGACTTTGCCTTAGAGTCTCAATGGTATACAATAAGTGAAATGGAATCCTACAACACCCATCCTCTGTTGCTACTCTAGGACTCTTCTCCTAGACTTTATGGTATACCACCAAGGGCACTGATCTCTGTAGTCTGGAGATCAGTTGTAATTCAGGGAGATCCACATTGAGGTTGGTGACATAAGTTGAAGAGCAGTGATGTGACTGGATAGCCATGTTTTTCTGATAATTAAAATTTAAAAAGTGAATTTCTGTTTTAATATTCATAAATTAGAAATGTACTGTGAAATTAAGCTATTAATGTTTCATGCCTTGATCTGTTTATGCTGCATTTATTTTGTAAAAATATTTAGGGTTGCTTCTATTACTGTTTTCTTAATTATATTCTTTAATAATTCTTGTATTCACTTTTCTCCCCTTTCCTTGTAGGTATCAGATCTACATATCAGTCAGTTTAGGGGTCCCAGTCGATCCTCTGATTTTGAAAAGTTCTGTACTGAAACCATTGATATAATTCAACCAGCTCTTGTTTTAGTAACAGGTGAGCAATCTACTTCTCCCCATCTCCCACCTTGCACCCCTAATTTCATTTTAGAATGCATTACAGCAATCTAGCCTTGAGGCTCTGAATAAATTAATGACGTTTTAGGTCTGGACCTAAAAGAAAGAGTTATACCCTTGTCACTAGATGGGTGAACAGCTCAAAGTGCAGAGATTAATCCAGGAGCACCCTGAAGCTAAACTCCGTGGGAGTCTCTTGTTGTCCCCCCACTTTCTCAGTCACAAGGTCTGAATATCATTGCTTCAGAGAACTAGCTAAGCAGGACATTGACCACCCTTGCTTTTACTACTCTCTGATGCTATCCCTTTGATGTGTAGATTGTTATTCTTAGGGAAGGTTTCCTTCCTTCTGGCTTCTCCCTCACTCCCCACACAATGCCACTCCTCTCCACCTTGGCAACATGAGAGTAGGGTGTCTTTCCTGCATCTCCATCCATCTAGCTAGTTCGACTAGATTAGAGAATCTCTCTCTTCTATCCTATCTAGAATAGAGTTCCTTAAATGAAAGGATTCATATTAATTTGCAAATATAAAGACACTCTGTATGTAACTTTGTTTCTTGCTGTGCTTCTGAGCCTTTGTGCACTCTGCTACCAATATAATCTGTCAGTTTCTGTTTCTTGATCAGACTAGTGTGTGACGAAAGGGTGACATTCAGGAATTAGCTTTTTATATAAATGATTTTAAGAAGGAATTTTTGATTTCTTATCAGTGAGATTGATGCAGTTGATCCGGCATTCTGTTCCAGGCCTATCACACTGATCAGCATTTGAAACATGTTGCATTCCATTATTGTGTATGATTTTTGAAGAATGTGCTTCTGTTTTCTGTTTGTTAACAGGTGACTTGACTGATGCCAAAGCAAAGGATGACATTGGCTCTGATCAGATAGAGGTGGAGTGGCAAACTTACCAGACAGTTCTGAAGAGGTCTAAGGTCATGGAAAAAACCAAATGGATCGACATTAAAGGGAATCATGGTAAGGGAGATGTCAGGCCAAAGCTGGACATATAGCGGGAGGGTTCCCAGATGTACTTCTTCACATGTCTGTTGATTCACTAGTGAAAAAAAGAGGTTGGGTTTGTTTGCTGGCTCTTTCCCCCCATAAAATTAAGTACTTGGGAGAAGAACCCTGCCCTCTTTTTTACCTAATGTGCAATCTTAAGCATGTCTACTGAAAAAACCAATTTTATTCAGTGACGTATACTCTAAGGAAAGTGCTCTTTGGATTGCAGCCATGACCTTACAGGGCTTTGTGGGGTTTTTTTGTATTTTTGCATCTGTGTGTGTTTGTGTGTGCGCACCCACCCATGCCTGGAAGTCATGGCAACCTCTGGTAACTCCAACTGGTGCACGGAGGACGTTCAGAGAAGTGGCTTGATAGCCTGCCTCTGCCCTCCCAGCCCTGGTATTCTCTGGAGGTCTCCCGTCCAAATATTTGCCAGGGTCAGCCGTACTTAGCTTCTGAGATCTGACGAGATCAGGCTTGCTTGGGCTATCCAGGTCAGGGAGGGCTTTGTTGTTTGAAGCATTTTTCTCCAGCTTGGCTCTGATACTGGAAGTGAGCCAGACTGTAAGAAAAATACTTTGAATAACTGTGTTAAAGTAGTGAAGACTTTAACCCTTCCCCTTAGCTGCATGCTCCATTTTCTCCAAAGAGAATAAATAGGCCCTTCTTATATTACAGGCGAAGGCATAAACTCAAGAATAAATACACATGGATGCCCCCAACACACTTAGTTTGGCTCTGAGACTATGTAACTGAGAAGTGCCATTGTTCAGTTGAATGTTGTTTTTTAGAAGCTATTGTAATCAGGTATTTATCTTGTCAATGGCAAACTTTAAAAAAAACAAAAACAAAAACCACATAATACCTTTTATTAGAAACTTTATTACAAATTTTAGTTATCAACTTTTATTTCTCTTCTCTTCTATTGGAGGAAACCTTGAGCAAATCTTCTGAATTTGCTCAACCACTAATTTTTCTCAATGACTTCAATTAAGGAAATAACATACAATGGATTACCATTGTGCCCATCCTCCAAATAATGTTCATTTCTCTCACTATTTTTTTAATCCAATCTCTGGATTAACACTTGGGTCTCTGATGTTTTTTAAGATTGGGCTTATCAGTCTCTCTGATGTTCTTAAGTTAGGGCTTGTCACGGTAAGCAGCAAATAATTTTTATTCTTCTATTTTTATCTTCTCTTGTCTTTAAGATTATAAGCCTATAAGCATGGCTTTGTTTTCCTAGTGATGAGGCAGTCTCTAAATAGTGAGAAGTAGTCTTGGCATTTGCTTTATAGAACAAAGCTTGGTGTTCCCAGGTTTATCCCATTTCTATTTCTATTTCTATTGTAAACCGCTCTGAGACCCAGTAGGGGGGTCATGGGCGGTATAGAAATCGAAATGTAAAGTAAAGTAAAACTCATTACAGTCAACTTGTGTAAGCCTGACCTCTCCCCCATCCCTTCAGCTCTCACAATCCTAAATTTGTTTTGAAATGTAGTTTAATATTGTTTGGGATTCTCACTGCAGATTCATTCAACATTCCAAGCCTGGACAGTGTCAAGAATTACTATAGGTAAGCCTGTGTGCCATGGTAAACTCAGAAGCCCAGAAGGAAACTTAATTGTGTGGTAGACAGAGACATTATGTTTGAACAAGGTATCTATTTTTAAGGAAATGTGACTCTTAAAGTAGTCTTAAAGATAACAGTTTAGAAGGTAGTCACCCACCCCACCTTTTTGCTCAGTTCTGTTGCTTCTTTCCCCCTTGCGGCTGCCACCATTATGGTATTCTGTGCAGCTCTGCTTCTCCATTTTTGCCCCTTCTGATGCTGGAGGAGGAAAACTCAATTGTACCTGTCTGTATTGAATTAAGGACAAGTACGGTTCTGCTTCTCTCACTTCTAGCCTTAAAAGGCTGCTAGTGGGAAACTGTACATTTGGGGGGTGGGGGTTCTTTTAACTTCCCTACTTGTTCCAGACTTTTCCGACTGTGATATCCACTTCTTGTTTTGGCAGGAAATACTCTGCATGGCATAAGGATGGCTCCTTCCATTACATCCACCACACATCTTTTGGCAAATACTCTTTCATCTGTGCTGATGCAACCCTTGTTCCAGGTCCCAAGAGACCCTTCAATTTCTTTGGGATTTTAAATGCGGTAATGTAAAAGGCAGCACATTGCAGCACTAAGCTGTCTGATGTGTGAAATGGAGCCTTAAGATTTTACTAACAACTGCATAAGATATAAAATCTGTGAAATCTTTAGAGAAATATACATGAGTAATTTGTGTTATGACTCCATAAATTATTATTTGGATTTCTTTGTGTTTAATTTATCAGTTTTTGTCTTTATGCTATTCTTTTGGATCCGGTAGTAGCTGTGTGTGTGTGTGTGTGTGTGTGTGTGTGTGTGTGTGTGTGTGTGTGTGTGTATTTCAGGTGCAGACTGGAATATACATTTTACATTGGTTCTGTTTGCTGATCCACTATCAGTTATGTTTAAAACCTAGTACTTCTTTCTATGAAGGGTATAGAATTATAGGTGGTAGGAGAAGCAGGCAGGGAAAAATAACCACATGAGGTGTAGCAGTCCTGATCTTTTGGGATCATTAAAGGTCCAAGGGAGAGCCTGGGAGGGAATTAACCTCATTTGAGGTTCTTATTTCCTCAGGACATAACTAGATCAAGATGGGTAGCCGTGTTAGTCTGTCTGTTGCAGTAGAAAAGTGCAAGATTCCAGTAGTACCTTCCTGAGCAGTAGACAAGAGCAAGAGTCCAGTAGCACCTTAAAGACTAACAAAATTTGTGGCAGAGTATGAGCTTTCATGAGTCACAGTGACTCGTTTATTCATGAAAGCGCATACCCTGCCACAAATTTTGTTCGTCTTCAAGGTGCTACTGCTCTTGCCTTACTGCTCAGGAAGTATCCGTTTATTACAAGTGGGAAAAGGGGTCCCCCCCCCCCCCCCCCCCCGGATCCAGCTGGGTGTTCCTCTGCTTTTGTGGGTTCTTCCCCACTGGCAGCCAGCTGGCTGCTGGTGGGGGGAAACCCTGCCCACAAAGGCCCCAAAACGCAGTGCGAGATGACATCACCCGAAGGGATATCATCGTGCTGCTGGCGTCATGTCGCAACACTCTAGTTTGTAGGCAAAACTCTACGGTAAAATCGGGCTCAAACCATAGAGCTTTGCCCAAAATCTAGAGGGTCACTGCATGACATCAGCTGTGCGATGACATCACTTCTGGGTGACATCATTGTGCCCCAAGTGCAAAGTGCGGGTGGCAGAAACTCCAGGAAAGGCCTGTCAATCCCTCCACCAGCAGAAAGGTAGGGCCTGACAACCCTAAGGGGGAACCTGCAAGAGGGGGCATTTTCCCCACCTTTGCATCCTTCCCTCTCCCCCCTTCTCTATTAATATTCCCCCTCTCTCTTTCTGCCTCCACCCCTTATTTATCAATCTTCCCTCACCCCCTCTTTCCACCCTTACCCTTCTAAGTAACTCTTCCCCCTTTCTTTTCCCACCCATTCACAGTCAATCATTCTCCTCTAATCCCCCCACATCTACTCAATTTCCCCTCTCTTTTCCCCACACCATCCCTTCTCAGGCAGTCTCTCACACCCTCTTCCCCATCCCCCTCTTTTCTCCTCCCACCATGGGAGCTGCAGCAGCTGTCCTTTTAAAACCTTCCCCCAGCTTCTAATTGGTCAGACTTCAGGGAGAAGTCATACTGGAATGGGGGTGGGGGGGGCATGAGGAGTCTTTGCTCCATCCTGACTGCTTTGCCCTGCAGTCTAACCAATTAGAAGCTGTGGGAAAGTTTTAAAAGGACAGCTGAGCCAGCAGCTGCAGAGACAGGGGTGAGAAGGAGCCTCCTCTTCCCACTCGCACGCCTGGCTCAGCTGTCCTTTCAAAACTTTCCCACCAGTTTTTAACTGGCCGGACTGCAGGGAGAAGCAGTGCTGGAGACAGGTGAATGGAAGCAAAGAACCACCCACTCCAACCTCCAGTGCTGCTTCTCCTCAAAGTCTAGCTGGTTAGGAGCCAGTGGGAAGACTGCAAAAAGACAGCCGAACCAGAGGCTACCAAGCCTTATGAGTTGGTGAGGAGGCTCCTTCTCACCCCCGACTCTGGAGCCTCCAGTTCAGCTACCCTTTTAAAACTTTCCTGCCCACTTCTAACTAGCCAGACTGCAGGGGAAGGAGCACTGGAAGTGGGTGAGAGGATTCCTTTAATCTAGCTGCGTCTTCAGTGCTGCTTTTCCTGTCCTCTTCCCCTTCTCCTGCATTTTGGGGTTTTTTAAAACCCTCTGAGGCAGGAATATACCTTTTACCCGACAAGACACAACTCTTGGTCAAGAATAGACATGTGTTGGATGTCAGCTACTATGGCCAATGAAATTTTAGAAGCGGAAATTCAACCCTCAACATTTGCAGACCATAACCTGATTATGCTTGAGCTGCAAGATACTCCCCCCCCCCAAAAAAAAGATGGACTTTAAATACAGCAATTTTAAAAAATGAGAGATTTATAGAAAACTCTAAGAAAGAATTTCAATTCTTTTTTTGAAAAGAACATACACCTGGATATGTCTGTAAATATAGTATGGGATGCCTTTAAAGCATTTGCAAGAGGATAGGTGATAAAAGAATCAGCAAACTCTAGAAAACAAAGACAAAAAAGTACTTACATTTACAGAAATTAATAAAAGAACAAAAAGAAAAAAATAAAACAAGAACCAACTAGCGAACAGAGGAAGATTAAGCTTAATCTTTTGCAGCATCAAATGAATAGTTCTCTAACTCAAGAATTAGCAAAAACAATTGATATATGCTAAACAGAACTATTTGGAAAACGCAAATAAACCGACCAGATGGTTGGCATACAAGCTGTGTAAGGAAAAGGAGAAGAACTATATAAGAACACTAGGAAATAAAAAGGGAGAAGAAAAAAACAACTTACAGGACTTGAAAGTTATTGTTCAACAATTCTATCAAAATCTATACAATAAAGCTGAAGCTACACAACAAGAAGTTAGACAATATATTCACAGAGGAACAAAGGAAACTATTAAATCAATCTATTTCATTAGCTGAACTGACAGAAGCCCTCAAAAAACAAAAGAAAGGTAAAGCCCCAGGTCCGGATGGGCTACCAGCGGAATTTTACCATATCTTCCAAGACCAACTAATATTCCCCTTAAAAGAATTATGTCAGAAAATAACAGTTGGACAGAAAATACCAGATACCTGGAATGAAGCCTTAATATCTTTAATACACAAACAAGGTACGGATGAGAAAGAAATTAAAAATTACAGACCCATCTCTCTTTTGAATGTGGACTATAAAATATATGCCTCTATTTTAGCAACAAGAGTGAAAAAAGTCCTGTCACAAACGATACACAAAGATCAAGCGGGTTTTCTCCCCAGAAGGCAACGCAAAAATAACGTACGAATCATTCTAAATGTTTTAGAATACTATGAAGCTCACCCAGAAGAACAATTGGCCTTAATTTTCCTAGATGCTGAGAAAGCCTTCGACAATGTTAGCTGGAATTTCATGTTGGAAATGCTTACTTGTTCACAAGTGGGCACAGAGTTCTTTAAAATGATTAAAGCTATCTATACGAAACAGCTAGCTAAGATTTCCATTAATGGGGACTTTCTCAGAATATTGAGATTCAGAAAGGGACACAGCAAGGATGCCCATTGTCCCCTTTGCGATTTATATTCGTGCTCGAAACTATGAATGAGGTGATTAGAATCAACGAACAAATTAGAGGCCTTAAACTAAGAGGGGAAGAATTCAAATCGCTGGCATTCTCAGACGATTTAGTCTTCATCTTAGAGAATCCCCTTTATTCTATAAATACACTTATTAACTTGCAACAAGAATATGGGACAGTAGCAGGTTTGAAAATCAATGTCAACAAAACAAAAATTATGACAAAAATATGACTGAGAAATATTCAATAGTATTACAAGAAAAATCAGGGTTTGAACTACAAAAAAAGCTAAATATCTAGGAATATCTAGGAATACTGTATGTTGTCTTCCCTATCCCCCACGAATATTGTTACTCCAAATGTCATGAGTAACTGTAAATCGCTCTGAGCCCGCAGGTATGTGGGAAAAAGCGATCAATAAATTGAAAGTATTATTATTATTATAACCTTGACCAATAAATGCAGTTCTTTAATGGAAAATAATTATATGGAAATATTGAAAACAATTTAAAAATATCTGGAAAAAAGGAAAACCTACCAAATTTTCTTTATGGGCAGAATAGCTACTATCAAGATGAACATTTTACCAAGACTCATGTTTCTTTTTGAAACCATACCAATTGTTCAAAATCAAACCTATTTTAAAGAACTGGACAAAATAACGACACAGTTCATTTGGCAAGGGAAAAGACCAAGAATAAAACTTAAAGCTTTACAAGATGCCAAAGATATAGCTGGCTTTGCCCTTCCAAATTGGCTTTTATATTACAGATCAGCTGCACTGGCCTGGGTTAAAGAATGGATTATATTGGGAAATGAAAGATTATTAAAATTAGAAGGCCATGATTTGTTATTGGGATGGCACACCTTTTTATGGTATGAGAAAATGGCTTCCCATAAATATTTTAAGCAACATTGGCTTAGAGCTGCATTAATGAAAGTTTGGGACCCAGTTTTAAAGCAATTTTATTTCAAGACATCAAGACTGATAGCTCCTTTGGAAGCTTTTACAAGCCTGAAGGTATATCAAGAAGACCAGACAAAACGATGCATGGATTTATTAGATTCACAATTTATTTTGAAACCAATATCCGATATATCATGGTGGCAAAAGGCAAAAGATGCATGATGAAACTGTTAAGACTGTTATGATTCACTGGGCACAAAATCTGGGACATAATATTGAATTAGACCAATGGTCACAGATATTGGAAAAAATATGAAAATTACAAAAGCAATTCCGTATAAAGATAATATCTATAAAATGTTTTATAGATGGTATGTTACACCTGAGAAATTAGCTAAGTACGGTTCTAAATGTTCTAATATATGTTGGAAGTGCCAAATCAAAGTAAGAAACTGTTAAGACTGTTATGATTCACTGGGCACATGTTTACTCAAAACTGGTACTTTTGGCCACTGTGTGACAGAGTGTTTGACTGGATGGACCATTGGCCTGATCCAACATTGGCTTCTCTTAAGTTCTTATGTTCTTATGTAAAACTCAAACTTGCACTTAAGTGTGTTTAGTGTTGCAGTCTTAAGATCCTAAAAGCCCAGTCTGTTTAAGTCTGTGCCACTGATATGCTTCTAAAATATTTGCTGCTGTTATTTCATTTTAGAATCAAATGGAAGAGCTGTCTTTGCTGGCTACAGAAAGTCATGACAGTAACCACACCATCTGGTTTGGTCACTATCCCACTTCGACAATCATCTCTCCATCACCAGGAATAAGGATGGTTATGAGGTAAATTGTTCTTTCCTTGTGGACAGTGGTAGTTCAACAAGAGATGTCTCCTGAGTCTGCCACCCTGGGCGTCTGCCTCTCACCATCCCCCTCCCCTGTCTCTCACCCATCCCTGCTCAGGAGCTAGGTCAGCTAACAATCCTTCCCTCCTCATTCCCCAGAAATATATAAGGATAGAACAAACCATGTTGTATTTAAATAACTTTTTTGCATTCCTCCTCCTTGAAACCTATTCTCCCCCACCCCCTACAAGCCTCAAAGAGGAGTGCTGTACAGGATTACACAACTGGACATACCCGATAACATTTTATTTTTCATGATCAGTAATTATTCCTTCTCCAGCCAACAATAACTATAATACTTTGCTTAGATCTGCTACAGCCTATTTATGTGGACACCTCCACACCCTGGGTGGTCTGATGCCAGTCCTACATACTCAGCACCATCATGGCACTCTAGAACTGGAGCTGGGAGACTGGAAAAATAATCGGAAGTAAGTAAAATTTCCAGTTTTCCAAATTTTATAGTGATGTGATCAGCACAAGAATCATTCCATCATGAAAACCAAAAACAGATTCTAAATGAACCAATAACAACATGTGAAATAGTAGAGGCGATCAAAAAACAAAAGAAAACTCCAGGACCTGATGGTTTACCATCTGAATTTTATCAAAAATTTGAAGATCAAATATTACTCCCATTAAAAGAAGTCCTACAGAATATACGTACAACAGGTAAAATACCTGATTCGTGGAATCAAGCAGTCATCTCATTGATACCTAAACCCAAATCGGAGGGAAATTTAATTCAAAATTATAGACCGATATCTTTACTTAATGTGGATTATAAAAAATTTTCAAGTATTCTGGTGGCTAGATTGAAAAAAGTTCTGGTGCAAAATATCCATTCAGATAAAGCAGGTTTTTTGCCAAAAAGATACATGAGAGACAACATAAGGACCATTATAAATGTTCTAGAATATTACAAGCACCACCCAGAAAAACAATTAACGTTGATGTTTTTAGATGAGGAAAAAGCATTTGATAACTTATCATGGAATTTTCTGACTCAAAAATTAGAAATAAGCGATTGTGGAACTAAATTCCAGACTATGATTAATGCAATTTATAAAGAACAATATGCACAGATTATGGTTAATGGTGACTTAACACAGAAGATAAAAATTCAGAAAGGAACAAGACAAGGATGCCCTTTGTCTCCATTATTATTTATATTCGCAATGGAAACTTTAAATGAGCAAGTAAGACAAGATGAAAAGATTCAAAGTCTTAGAATAACAGGTGAAGAATTCAAGTTATTAGCCTTTGCGGATGATTTGGTATTCATTAAAACCCCAAAGATTCATTTGCCCAACTAATTAAAGTTATATTAGACTACAGACATATTGGTGGACTTAAAATTAATTTGAAAAAAACCAAGTTGTTGACAAAAAATTGCTCTTCAGATACAATAGAAGAAATTTAAAAAGTGTCCTCCATGGAGATAGCTAAAAAAGTTAGATACTTGGGTATTACAATAACCAATAGAAACAGTAACTTAATAGAGGATAATTATAATAAACTTATGTCAGACATAAAGAAAGATCTAGATAAATGGAACCATCTACAACTCTCATTAATGGGAAGAGTGTCTACTGTAAAAATGAATGTGTTACCAAGATTTTTATTTCTAGCACAAAATATCCCTATTCTAAAGAAAAACAATTTTTTCTTAGAGCTGGATAAAATCACAAGAAAGTTTATCAGGAATTCAAAAAAAGCTAGAATAAAATGGAAATTACTACAAGATACTAAAGACAGAGGAGGTCTTGGAGTCCCAAACTGGAAATTTTACTATCAAGCCGCTGCATTATGCTGGATCAAAGACTGGATTAATTTGCAAAATGTGGGAACATTGAAACTAGAAAGTCACAATCTAAGCATGGGGTGGCACGCATATATCTGGTACGGGAAAGATAAAATCCACTCTAACTTCCATCAACATATAATAAGAGGATCTTTAATAAAAATATGGAACCTGATAAAAGGAAGATATTATATAAAAATCCCAAAATGGGTATCACCCCTGGAGGCATTTATGAAACCTTCTCTAACTAACAAAAATAACAGAATGTTATGAAATACTTTTAGAAAAAAATAATAACTTAAAAAAAGGAAAATTGTCACAACACAACATACAGTTATCATGGTGGCAGTATTTACAATTGAAATCTAAGTACACTAGAGATAGGTCTCAAGGCATCAAAAGTAATAACAATGAATTAGATAAGATCTGGTTATCTTCCAATGATAAACTTATCCAAAAATTGTATAAATTACTATTAGATGATTATATGCTAGAAGAAGCGATCAAATCAGTGATGATTTTGTGGATGAGGGATATAGGTGGCAATATAGAAATTGATACATGGAGTAAAATCTGGAAAACATCCAAAATGGTGAAAGCTATTACTTACAAGGAAAATATTTTTAAGATGTTTCATAGGTGGCACTGGTCACCCGAAAAAATAGCAAAATGTTACAATAAAAATGACAACAAATGTTGGAAATGTAAGGTTAAAGTTGGTACTTTTTATCATATGTGGTGGAACTGTACAAAAATGCAAAAATACAGGCGAAAAATACAGAGAATAATATTGGATATCACGAATGTAGAATTAAAATTAAAACCAGAATGTTACCTGCTTAATATTTTACCAGAAGACATAAGATATATGGACAAATGTTTGATAATTTTAATAATTACATCTGCTAGAATTCTTTTTGCAAAAAAGTGGAAATCTGAAAAAAATACCCGGTGAAGGAGAAATAATTAATAAAATTTTGAACTTAGCAGAAATGGATAAATTAAACATATCATTGCAAGATAAAGATGATAAAGTTTATTTGAAGAAATGGTTGAGAGTATATGAATAGATAGAGAAAAAGAGAACTTAATAGACTCGAACTGTATTTAAAATGTGGATTTGTATATATGGTATAAACAAGAAAATCTAATAAATAAATTTTAAAAAGGATCATTCCATCAGTTTGTACTGCTTAGAAGATGGATGAGGAAGAGGGGTGTGTGTAAGTTATCAGAAGGCTAATTGTTGTACTTAGTGCACATGTGTACGCACACACACACACACACACACACACACACACACACACACAGCTCTTGCTGTTTTGGGCTTTCCTCCCTGAATACAAATGTATGTTGCAGATCCACAATAAGATGTTAATCCCCTTCTGACTTCTTTTCATCAGATCTAGAAAGAATAGACCTTGAAAGTTAAGAATGCTTCCTTCACACTGTATTCATTAACTTTGGGAAGTAGGTTCCAGTACTGTTTTGGTGGAGTTGGCCTTGAAAGGTGTGCTAAAACACTGTCTGATCATTCTCTTTTATATAATTGGGGTGACCAAACTCTGAGGCTCTTGTGACTTCAAGGAAACTGAATTGCTCAGGACCAAAGTGCTTTGGAATTGGCCTTGACCTGTACCAAATCACATAGTGGGACCTCAGGAGAAGAAAATGGCCACAATAGCCTGTTCACCAGAACACTGAAGGATAGGTTTAGGGAACTATGGGCTTAGATGGAGGCAAGGAAGCCCTAACTCTGCATAGAGGCAACTTTCGTGGCAGCTGCTGTGAGTCCAGCTGAAGTCGTAAAACAAAGTCTGAAGAATCATAGCTTTTATATGTTCTTGCATAAGTATCTTCTATTTACACATCCTTAGGCTCCAATCCAATTTATTGTTGTTTGAGTGTTTGAGAAAGTTGAAGTATTTCCTTGAGAGAAGATACCTGGATTTTGTGCCACTGGAAGAGCAAAAGCTGCACATTTCTTTTACCCTGGCATAGCCCCATTAAACGAGCTGTGCCAGCCATAAAAAAAGAGACAGGAGTGCTGGGGAAGAAGTGTCTCCTTCTCCCTCTCTCCTGGCAGCACAGCCAGGAGAATGGGAGACGGGATCACTGTGGAAGAGGCATCCCATTTCCCTCTCACCTGGCCATGTGGCCAGGAGAAAGGAGGGGAATCTCCTGAGAGAAAGTGAGGAGCTGCCAAAAGAAGGTGCGTGGGGGATCTCCCAGGAGAAAGTGGATCTACTCGCGGGCAGAGAGAACCTTCTCCGCACAGGGCCAGCTGTTTCAGATTAAGCAGCTATGCCAGGGAGCCAGAGGCAGCTGCTGGCTCCCTGGTGTAGCCCCATCAAATAGGCTGCGTGAGGAAAACCCGAGATAGCTAGGCTGGCGTGGAGAAGGCTCTTTGCACCAGCTCGGCTGCCTCTGGCTCCCTCTTGCAGCCCCGTTTAAAGAAGTTGCATGAACAAGCCCAAGACTGCTGAGCTGGCAGGGAGAGCTGCGCAGTCAGGTGAGAGGGAGTTGGTGTAGCCCCTTTAAATGGGCTGCATGAGCAAGCCTGAAACAATTGGGCTGGCACTGAGAAGGCTCTCCAGACCAGCTCAGCTGCCTCTGGCTCCCTGATGTAGTCCCTTTAAACAGGCTCTCTCTGACAATCCAGTTTAATAAGGAGGTGAGTCCAAGAATGCTGAGCTGGCGGGGAGAGCTGCGCAGCCAAGAGAGAGGGAAATGGGAAGCACCTTCCCAGGTGATCCAACCCCCCCTTTCTCCTGGTTGGGCAGCCAGAAAAGAGAGTGATGAGAAGCCTCTTCCCAAGAGATCCCACCCCCCTTTCTCCTTGATGTACGGCCAGGAGAGAGTGTTATGTATTGCAATGGAACCGTACTTGCGAACAGGCTGGCAACGGACATGCGAAATAGCAAAGCTTTGAACGCATAACAATAGAAGGCTAGGATCCTAGAATGAACCAATAGATTGCCCCGGATCCTAGTAATAGCCAATTGTTTAACAATACCCTGTAAATAGCCTATCGTTGGGAGTGGGGTGTGTGTTGGGTGTGGTGTCTGGTACAAATATAAGCAGGACTCTGACACTGCTAGTTTGTCTTAGTTTTGAGCTGAAACCACTTAATAAACATGAGCTAATCACTCTACGCATCTGAACCCAGTAAATTTCACTGGCAACAAAGGTGGGATTCCGATGAGCAAGCTTGACCCAACCTCCAGCACCACACCACGCAATGAGCCCCAGCCCTCTGCGCCTCGCATTGCTTCCAGGGTCATGGCTGCCACTCCAGGACATCTTCCTGAGTTCGACGCCGCTCACCCCAAGTTATGGGAAGCCTGGGTGGAGCGCTTAAAATTCTTCGTCAGGTTCCAGGGCATTGACGACAAAAAGAAATTGCTCCTGCTCAGTGCCTGTGGCATCACCACCTTACGCCTCACCCAGAACCTCATCACACCCAAGACTTTGGATGAGGCCACCTACAATGAGTTGGTCAGGGTGCTCACTGACCATTTCGCACCTCAACCGACCAAGATGGCGAGGCACATGGACTTCTTTGCGCGCCAACAGAAGTCCGATGAAGCAGCCACTGACTTCATGGCCAAACTCCGCAGGCTGGCC